TGGTTTAATAATTGAGGAGATTATGGATAATAAAGGGCAGCACGGTGGCACAACTGGTAGAGCTGCTTCCTCTCAGCAAGCAGGTCCTTGGTTCAAACCCCGGTCCAGGGGCCCTCTGGGTGGAGTTTGCATGTTCTCTCCGTGCATGCGTGGGTTTTCTCCGGGTACTCCGGTTTCCTCCCACAGACCAAAAACATGCATGTTAGACTGATTGGTAACTCTAAATTGTCCCTAGGTGTGAGTGAGAGAGTGAATGGTTGTTTGTCTCATTTGTCTCTATGTGGCCCTGTGATGGACTTGCGACCTGTCCAGGGTGTACCCCGCCCCTTGCACAGTGATTGCTGGACATGGGCACCAGCGACCCCCGTGACCCAAAATGGAATAAGCGGGTAAAGATAATGGATGGATGGATGGATAATAAAAATCTAGTTTGTTTAAATGATGGAAGCAGCACAAGAATAAATATCACATCAGGAACAGAATCAGCAATAGATCTCACATTAGTTTCAGACTCACTGGCAGGAATCAGTTCATGGCAGGTTCTTAAAGACACCACAATAGGCAGTGATCACCATCCCATAATAACAAAACTGGATTTAGAAACACGACAATATGACACACGGGGAGCACATACATGGAATTTCACTAACGCTAATTGGGCAACATTTTTGAGAACGAGTGACAGAGAGATGGGGAAAATAGAATTAGATGTAGAAATTAATCAATTAAATATGTCAGTTTGTTCATCTATTGTAGAAGCAGCAAACAAATCTATAAAGAAGAAAGGAGGGAAGAATAACAAAAAGATTGTTCCATGGTGGACAAAGGGGTGTGAAAAAGCAATTAAGATGAGAAATAAGGTGTTTAAAAAATTAAAAAAGAATCCTAATACTCAGAATCTTATCGAATATAAAAAAACAACAAAGCATTGTAAGAAGAACCATAAAAAATACAAAATGAGAATATTGGAGGCGATTCTGTAGTTCAGTGGGAAGAGAAACGGAAATAGGTAAAGTTTGGTCGATGATTTAAAGAATGAATGGAGTGAGACAAGAGTATGGGTATCCAGTTTTGAGTGATGGAGAAGTAACGGCAGTTGAAAATAAGGAGAAAGCAGAAATGATGGCAAAAGCTTTTATTAAAATTCATAGTTCAAACAATATTAGTGACGAAGGGAAAAGAGGAAGAGAGAGAACCATCCATCCATCCATCCATCCATCCATCCATCCATCCATCCATCCATTTTCTTCCGCTTATCCGGGGTCGGGTCGCGGGGGTAGCAGCCTAAGTAGGGAGGCCCAGACTTCCCTCTCCCCAGCCACTTGGGCCAGCTCTTCCGGGGGAATCCCGAGGCGTTCCCAGGCCAGCCGAGAAACATAGTCCCTCCAGCGTGTCCTGGGTCTTCCTCTGGGCCTCCTTCCGGTGGGACGTGTCCGGAACACGTCACCAGGGAGGCGTCCAGAAGGCATCCTAAACAGATGCCCAAGCCACCTCAACTGGCTCCTCTCGACGTGGAGAAGCAGCGGCTCTACTCCGAGTCCCTCCCGGATGATCGAGCTTCTCACCCTGTCTCTAAGGGAGAGCCCAGACACCCTGCGGAGAAAACTCATTTTGGCCGCTTGTATCCGAGATCTCATTCTTTCGGTCACAACCCAAAGCTCGTGACCATAGATGAGGGTGGGAACGTAGATCGATCGGTAAATTGAGAGCTTCGCCTTTTGACTCAGCTCTCTCTTCACCACGACAGACCTGTACAGCGCCTGCTTCACTGCAGACGCTGCACCTATCCGCCTATCGATCTCACGCTCCATTTTTCCCTCATTCGTGAACAAGACCCCAAGATACTTGAACTCCTCCACTTGGGGTAGGACCTCCTCCCTGACCCGGAGAGGGCACTCTACCCTTTTCTGGCTCAAGACCATGGCCTCGGATTTGGAGGGACTGATCTTCATCCCGGCCGCATCGCATTCGGCTGCGAACCACTCCAGCAAAAGCTGTAGATCACGATCTGATGAAGCCAATAAGACCACATCATCTGCAAAAAGCAGAGATGCAATCCTAAGGCCACCAAAACGGATCCCCTCAACACCTTGGCTGCGCCTAGAAATTCTGTCCATAAAAGTTATGAACAGAATCGGTGACAAAGGGCAACATTGGCGGAGTCCAACTCTCACTGGGAACAAGCCTGACTTACTGCCGGCAATGCGGACCAGGCTCTGACACCGGTCATATAGGGACCTAACAGCCCGTATCAAAGGGCCCGGTACCCCATACTCCCAGAGTACCCCCCACAGGGCCCCCCGAGGGACGCGGTCGAACGCCTTCTCCAAGTCCACAAAGCACATGTAGACTGGTTGGGCAAACTCCCACGCACCCTCCAGGACCCTGCTGAGAGTGTAGAGCTGGTCCAGTGTTCCACGGCCAGGACGAAAACCGCACTGTTCCTCCTGAATCCGAGGTTCGACTATCTGACGGACCCTCCTCTCCAGAACCCCCGAATAGACCTTACCAGGGAGGCTTAAGAGCGTGATTCCCCTGTAGTTGGAACACACTCTACGGTCCCCCTTTTTGAATAGGGGGACCACCACCCTGGTCTGCCAATCCAGGGGAACTTCCCCCGATGTCCACGCAATATTGCAGATTTGCGTAAGCCAACACAACCCTACAACATCCAGAGCCTTAAGGAACTCTGGGCGAATCACATCCACCCCTGGGGCCCTGCCACCGAGGAGCTTTTTAACCACCTCAGTGACCTCAGCACCAGAGATTGGAGGGCCCAACCCAGAGTCCCCAGGCTCCGCTTCCTCAGTGGAAGACGTGCCGGTGGGATTGAGGAGGTCTTCAAAGTATTCCGCCCACCGACCCACAACATCCCGAGTTGAGGTCAGCAGCACACCACTCCTACTATAAACAGTGTTGGTGGCGTACCGCTTTCCCTCCCTGAGACGCCGGATGGTGGACCAGAATCGTCTCGAAGCCGTGCGGAAGTCGTTCTCCATGGCCTCTCCGAACTCCTCCCATGCCCGAGTTTTTGCCTCAGCAACCACCCGAGCCGCATGTCGCTTGGACTGCCGGTACCCATCAGCTGCTTCCGGGGTCCCACAGGCCAAAAAGGCCCGATAGGACTCCTTCTTCAGCCTGACAGCATCCCTCACCGACGGTGTCCACCATCGGGTTCGAGGGTTGCCGCCGCGACAGGCACGACAACCTTGCGGCCACAGCTCTGGTAAGCCGCCTCGACAAAAGAGGCACGAAACATGGTCCACTCAGACTCAATGTCCCCCACCTCCCTCGGAACATGTTCAAAGTTCTCCCGGAGGTGGGAGTTGAAAGTCCGTCTCACAGGAGACTCTGCCAGACGTTCCCAGCAAACCCTCACAATACGTTTGGGTCTGCCAGGTCTGACCGGCATCCTCCCCCACCATCGGAGCCAACTCACCACCAGGTAGTGATCAGTTGACAGCTCCGCCCCTCTCTTCATTCGAGTGTCCAAGACATGTGGCCGCAGATCAGATGAGACGATGACAAAGTCGATCATCGAATTGCGGCCTAGGGTGTCCTGGTGCCAATAGCACATATGGCCACCCTTATGCTTGAACATGGTGTTTGTTATTGACAATCCATGATGAGCACAGAAGTCCAACAACAGAACACCACTCTGGTTCAGATCAGGGGGGCCGTTCCTCCCAACCACACCCCTCCAGGTCTCACTGTCTTTGCCCACATGAGGATTGAAGTCCCCCAGCAGAACAAGGGAGTCCCCAGAAGGTGCACTTTCCAGTACCCCCTCCAAGGACTCCAGAAAGGGTGGATAATCTGAACTGCCGTTTGGTGCATAAGCACAAACGACAGTCAGAACCCGTCCCCCCACACGTAGGCGGAGGGAGGTCACCCTCTCATTCACCGGGGTGAACCCCAACACACAGGCACCAAGTTGGGGGGCAATAAGTACGCCCACGCCTGCTCGGTGCCTCTAACCAGGGGCAACTCCAGAGTGGAAGAGTGTCCAGCCCCTCTCAAGGAAACTGGTTCCAGAGCCCGAGCCATGCGTAGAGGTGAGTCCGACTATTTCTAGCCGGAACCTCTCAGCCTCACACACCAGCTCAGGCTCCTTCCCCACCAGTGAGGTGACATTCCACGTCCCAATAGCCAGCTTCTGTAGCTGAGGATCAGACCGCCAGGGTCCCCGCCCTCGGCCACCACCCATCCCACATTGCACCCGACCCCTTTGGCCCCTCCCACAGGTGGTGAGCCCATGGGAAGGGGGACCCACGTCTCCTCTTTGGGCTATGCCCGGCCGAGCTCCATGGGTAAACGCCCGGCCACCAGGCGCTCGCCCGCGTGCCCCACCTCCAGGCCTGGCTCCAGAGTGGGGCCCCGGTGACCCACGTCTGGGCAAGGGAACATTAGGTCCGTTTATTTTTCTCATCAAAGGGGTTTTTGGGCTGCACTTTGTCTGGTCCCTCACCTAGGACCTGTCTGCCATGGGTGACCCTACTAGGGGCATAAAGCCCCTGACAGCATAGCTCCTAGGATCATTGGGACACTCAAACCCCTCCACCACGGTAAGGTGGCAGCCCATGGAGGGGAAGAGAGAGAACCATAACAGAATATAGAAAATTATTAGAAGAAGAGGAAGGAGAAAATGATTTATTAAATATACCATTTACCAAAACCGAAATAAACCGAGCACTTCAAAAATGTAAACTATCAGCACCAGGAAATTATCATATTTGTTACATAATGATTAAACACCTCAGTGAAGCATCAAAATACATTATTTTAGAATTATTCAATAGAGTCTGGGAAGAAGGAAAAATACCACAGTCTTGGAAAGAAGCAGTAATCATCCCAATACGAAAACCAGGAAAAGATCACACCAAACCAGAGAACTACAGACCGATAGCTTTAACATCTAACATCTGCAAAATTATGGAGAAAATGATAAATGAAAGAATAGCATATTATGTAGAAATAAAAGGTTATATGTCCAAATATCAAAGTGGTTTTAGAAAAGGAAGAAACACGATGGATCCAGTCTTGTGTCTGGAGCATGAGATCAGGAAAGCCCAGATTAATAAAGAAAGTGTGGTAGCTGTATTTTTTGACGTAGAGAAAGCGTATGACATGATGTGAAGAGAGGGACTACTTATAAAAATGAAAAAAATGGGAATCACAGGACGAATGTTTAAATGGATAAAAAAAATTCTATCAGACAGACAAATACAGGTGAGAATAGGACAAGATTACTCTGACAAATACTTCATAGAAAATGGGACACCACAGGGAAGCATAGTTAGCCCTCTGTTATTCTCTATAATGATCAACGACATGTTTGATGGTATAGAAATAGGAATGGGAAGGTCTTTATTTGCAGATGATGGGGCTTTGTGGAAGAGAGGCAAAAATCTACAATTTATTATAAAAAAGGTACAGGAAGCAATAAAAACAGTTGAAAAATGGTCAAATAGATGGGGATTAAAATTTTCAGTAGAAAAGACAAAATCATTAATTTTCACAAGAAAAAACATACCTAATAATAATGAACTCAAGTTGTACGGGAAAGTAATTGAAAGAGAAAAACAGTTTAAATTTCTGGGCATCTGGTTTGATGCGAGACTAACATGGACAGTGCACATCCAAAAAGTTATTGACAAATGTAAATGGATTCTAAATACCATTAGGTGTTTGACAGGAAAAGACTGGGGAGCAGACAGGAAAGCACAAAGGACCATCTACACAGGACTAATCAGATCAATAATAGACTATGGGAGTATCGTTTATAGTTCAGCTTCAGAAACAAATTTAGAAAAGTTAAACAGTATTCAATATCAGGCATTAAGGATTATTACCGGGGCATTCAAAACAACACATACAGGATCAATATTAGTAGAAATGGGAGAACCACCACTGAACATCAGAACAATTAGCATTAAACTACTGGGCAAATCTGAAAGACATGAACAAAACCATCCAACACAAGAAATATTAAAACCTTGCTGGGAGAAAGAAAAGAAACACACAAAAAACTTTGGATGGACCATAAATCAAAAGTCAGCAGAAAGTCAAATAGATGATCTTAATGTCAACCCAACAGTTCCACTTCCAAACATCCATCCATGGTGTAGATGAACATATGCTGTCATATATTCATAAATTAAACGGATTCTTTCATTTTTCTGGACTGTATAATGACGTGCATCTGAATTTAATAAAATGTGGACGTGAGACGTTAATTATCTTTGACTCACCAACGACAGTGGGTCATTTATTAACAGAATCAAGTTTAACACATCACACATTTACATTAATTGGCAAGAATTGAAAATAACGACAGCTTATTAATCAGTTTTACAGGAAGTAAACAATACAGCGGTTGTTCTCACTTCCAGTAGTACAACAGGCATTACCACACGGCGGTGGTTGAAAACTTTGCTTTAGACATTTCTAAAAATATCTGGATTAATTTCTACTTGATAGAAGAGTTTTAAAGATGGAAAGATGAAGTTTATCTTGAGAGAGATGTGTGAGGGAATTTGTCTGTTTTAACCAGAACAGCACGCTCCTTTGGACCAGCTTGTCCCAACGGTAGACTTTGGTTGAAGATGGACTTTTTACCTTTCTGAAGATATGTCAGTTCCGGCGTAAAGTTCCACTTCGAGCCACTTTTCAGCGTCTCCGTAAGAACAGCTAAACCTCGGGAGTCGTGAGATCACCCAGAACAGACATTTCATAATTCCCAGATCTTCTCTTGTTCAGCTTGATTTTTCTTTCATCAGCATCCTGAATTCCAGCCTTCATGAACTCTGGAACTGCTGAGTTTCAGAAATGCAGAACTTCTTCATCTACTCCCAAACGACTGGAGCTGCAAACTCTCCACCCGACTCCAACTGGAGGTGGAACCTCTTGCAGAACTCCTTCATCTTCAAACTCTTCTCGACTCAAACTACTTACTAAAAACTGGGTTGAACTAGGAAGTGCCAACATTTAAAGAGCTCTATTTCCGATTCATTTGGGAGTTTCTGATTGGTCGATGGACCAAAACAGAGGTGTGTTTTGTGATGTAAGGTGTTATGAAAAGTCAAGGAAAAAGATTAAGATTGTTTAAGAACAGACAGAAGATTGTTATGAAGAATTCAGACTTCGTGGAGTCACTTCTCCAGTATCTTGCTGTAAAAGTTAAACATGACATTTCTTTTTCAGTAAACTTGCAGTTGACCGAAACTTGAACTTTGACCAACTTACACACTTGCTCACTGAAGACAGAAAATCAGACAATGCATCATTAACCTGATTTCTTCTTTGAATGAGGATTAAGAATCATTATTACTGTTTCACAGTTAATAAAAAATGAGTAGTTCACTTCAACATGTAAACATTGTTTGAACTAACACAATTTGATTATCAAACATTTGTAAAATAGTAATGATAATAGAGAATAGTCTTCTTTCACTTGATTAATTCAAGAAAGAAAGTCTCAGGGTGGGTCAACCTGTATTTCTGGATGCAAATCAATGAAATGACAGTTTCTGTCCCATATGGTCCTTAGGTCAAAGTTTTGACATCAGGCCTAGTTCACTACAATGGTTATTCACAGACACAACAGTTGACTTGAAAATATTAGAAAAAATAGAAATGGATTGATTTCAAGTACAGTTATTGAACACATCAATAAATATTATGGATATGTAAAAATATATACAGACGCTTCAAAAAATACAGCAGGGCAAATAGGGGCAGCATTTATTGTACCAGAGTTTGGAGTTAAAGTAGGGAAGAGATTAAACAACAAATTATCAGTATACACCGGAGAAATGGTGCAATATTACTGGCAGTTCAATGGATAGAAGACAATCAACCACTCAGATCAGTCATATGCTCAGATTCCAGTTCATCAGTAATTAGTATAAAAAACAGTTGTTCAGAAAGCAGACCAGACATATTGACAGAAATACAGCAAACATTATTCAAAATTAATATGATGGGGTTAACGGATACATTTTTATGGATTCCAGCTCACATAGGGATAAGAGGAAATGAAATGGCAGATAAAATTGCAAAGGAGGCCACCAAAAACAACTCAGTGGAAATAGAGGTAAAATTCAGTCGGGCAGAAATAAAAAGCATCACAAAACAGAGAATGAGGGAAAAATGGCAAAAGCAATGGGAAGAAGAAAGAAAAGGTCGATGGTTCTACATAATTCAACAAAAAGTTGGAGAAATGAGAAGAGCTGAAAGAAACAGAAGGGAAGAAACTGTCATCTCAAGACAGATTTGGACACACAGGATTGAACAGGACCTTATTCATCATAGGGAAACATAACACGGGAAAATGTGACCATTGTGGGGAAGATGAGACCATACAACACGTGCTAATGATCTGCCAAAACTACCATCATGAAAGAAGACAAATGATTCAAAGACTCAATGCAATAAACGTCAGATTTGACCCTGTAGGGCTGTTACAAGAAAATTCAAGTTCTGCAAGTACCAACATATTGTTGAAATACCTGAAAGGGACTCAGTTGTTCGAGAGAATAGAGCGTTATTTATTCTTATGGATATAATTTATTTATTTTTTATTTTATTATTTTATTTTATTTTTTATTTTATTTTTTTGAGCGACATTCTAGTTGAAAAACTTAAACAGCAGATGGCGGTAATGCTTCAAAATCTTGAATGCCAACCGCCAAAGAAAAACTAAGAAGAAGAAGAGCATGATAGAGGAAAACAGAGCATGACTTGGCAGAAATGTGACATTATTTTTCTCCTTTTGAACACAGACAAGACTGAGGTTTTGGTTTTTGGACCTGAGCACCTTAGGAATTAATTATTCAGTCTTTCTCCCTCCTTAGATGGCATTAATCTGTCCTCCAGCTCTAATGTTAAAAATATTGGTGTTATTTTTGATCAGGACGTGTCTTTTATCCCCCACATTAAAAACGTTACTAGAACTGCATTCTTCCACCTGTGTAATATCACTAAAATTAGAAACATCTTATCTAAAAATGATGCAGAAAAACTGGTTCATGCATTTGTCACGTCTAGACTGGACTATTGCAATGATTTGTTATCTGGGTGTCCAAATACTTCTTTAAAATGTCTTCAGTTGATCCAAAATGCTGCTGCCAGAGTCTTAACTGGAGTTAGTAGGAGAGATCATATTTCTCCATTTTTAGTTTCTCTCCATTGGCTCCCTGTCAAATCCAGAATTGAATTCAAAATTTTACTTCTAACCTACAAAGCTCTCAACAACCTGGCTCCATCTTATATTACAGATCTTATTGTTCCTTATTTTCTTAACAGAGCACTTCGCTCTCAGGCTGCAGGTTTACTTGTGGTTCCTAAAGTTTACAAAAACAGAATGGGAGGCAGAGCTTTCAGTTATCAGGCTCCTCTCTTGTGGAACCAACTTCCAATCTCTGTCCGTGAGGCTGACACATTATCCAGTTTTAAAACTAGGTTTAAGACTTTCCTTTTTGATAAATCCTATAGTTAGGGTCAGCTTGGGTTTCCTGAGCTGTCCCTTAGTTATGCTGCTATAGTCTTAGACTGCTGGAGGACAATCTGACCACAATTTTCACTCTGCTACTGTCTTTACTTGCTCTGCTCAACCTGTTTTGTATTTGTAATTATTTTTTCTATCCTTAACATGTGGTTTTTTTTTGTCTTTCAGATACACCTGGATCTGCCATTCTATGTTCGTCTGTCTCTCCTTCCTGTCCTCTCAACCAGCCTGTCAAAGCAGATGGCCGCTTGTCCTGAGCTGGTTCTGTTGGAAGTGTCTTCCTTTTAAAAAGAGAGTTTTTCCTTTCCACTGTTGCCACTGTGCTTGCTCAGGATGGGAGACTGCAACGAAGCCAAGATTCAACTTGTCTGCTGGATTCCTTAGATAGTGAACTTTACTAATTGGCTTTTATTTAGGTAAATGTTCCTGTAACGTGCCCTGAGACAACTTTGTTGTGATTTGGCGCTACATAAATAAACTGAATTGAATTGAATTAAAGATGTGAGACACCGGTTCTGCAATGTTGTGTGCGACCAGCCTTAAGAAATAAGGAGGAAGGTCATCAAGGCCAGTAGATTTTCTAGAGTCTAGA